TACGAGCACCTTCAGGACCAGCAGCTCTAGCACCTCCGGTACCTCCAGCTCCAGCGCCTCCAGCACCAGCAGCACCTCCAATGCCAGCAGCTCCAGTAGCACCTCCAGCACCAGCAGCACCACCAGCTCTGGCAGCTCCAGCACCTCAAGTACGAGCACCTCCAGGACCAGTAGCTCCAGCAGCTCCAGCACCAGTAGCACTAGCACCTCCAGTGCCAGCAGCTCCAGTACCTCTAGCACCTCCAGCAGCACCTCAAGGACCTCCAGCACCAGCAGCTCCAACAGCTCCAGTACCTCTACGAGCACCTCCAGGACCAGCAGCTCCAGCAGCTCGAGCACCAGTAGCACTAGTACCTCCAGTACCAGCAGCTCCAGTACCTCCAGCACCTCCAGCAGCACCTCCAGCACCTCCAGCACCAGCAGCACCACTAGTACCTCCAAAACCCGCACCCCCTAAGCACCCCCAGAACCCGCACCACCAGTGTCACCACCTGCAGTAGCACCAAAGTCCACAGCAGCAGGTTGTGGAGGCGGCGAAGACGGCCGAGGCGGAAAACCAGGAGGGGGTCTCCAAGCGAGGAGAGTGGCGAGTGGCCACCGTCTCGACAGCGGCGGGGTCACCCCCCTCAGACGGGCCAAAGGAGTCAGAAGAGATCTCCAAAGGCTCAACCAAGGGGGGTGGGTCTACGTGAGTCACACCTATGGGAGCAGGACCCTGTGGGGGGAGGGGGTCTACCGGGGGGGGAACTGGTACCAGGAAGAGAGGCGCCAGGGGGACCGGGTGGGACGCGTGCGGTTGGAGCCTGTAGAAGCAGACCGACTCGTCAAAGGTGACGTCCTGGGAGGAGAACACGCGACGGTCACAAGGGTGGTAAAACTCCCACGACGGGGCGTCGGTGGGGAAGCCAAGGAAGTCGCAGCGGAGAGTGCAAGGAGAGAGCTTGCTCGCGGTGGTATCGCAAACAAGGGAGAGCGCGCCCCAGACCCGAAACGCCGACGCATCGCCAACCTTTCCCGTCCAACGGAGTGTGGGCGGGTCTCTGGCAAAGAGACACGGGGCCAGATTTTGAGGTGATGTGCGGCGTATCGGACCGCAAACGGCCACAGAAAATGGGGAGCAGTCGCATGGATGATGGAGGTGCGAGCAACCTCCATCACCAAGCCAATGCGGCGCTCTGCAGCCCCATTCGGATGTGGAGAGGCCGGAAGCATGAACGTCTGGCGGATGCCCTGGTCTCGACAGAGATTCGCAAGGAGGCCATAAGAGAACTCACCGCCCCTGTCAGAGTGCAGACGTAGGACTGGAAGGTCCTGCCGAAACTGCTCGTGCAGGTGGAGACGAGCAGCGCGGATCCAGGGGATCAAAACACCAGTGACGTCCGCCTTGCTGCGCAAGGGGAAGACCGTGGTGTAGCGCAAGTAGTCGTCAACGACCAGCAAAAAGTAGCGCTCCTTGTTCGTCCCACTGACGCGGGCTGGGCTCCTTACGTCAATCTGGAGAGTCTGCAGAGGAGCAGTGGTCGGAGGAAACTCGGAGCAATGAGGAGCGGCGCGCTACCGCCCCTCGGCGCATGGAAAGCACGGCGGGGCAGGCGAGCGCGGGAGTGGGGGCAGTAACCTGAGAAGGCCTGAGAAAAGAAGACGGGAGTGCATGCTGCGCAGACGCAGCAGAGAGGGGTGACCGAGTCGGTGGTTCCAGAGGAGAGTCTAGTGGGAAAGTACATGACACGAGCAAGACGCTACAAGCTGACCAGACGCACACACCTGACTCGACGCATCCACCTGACCTGACGCAGCCACCTGTGCAGACGTAGTGGTCAGGGTGTACAGACTGGACCCAGGCTGCCGAGTGAACGTATCAAGGTGACGTCCAGTTTGGGAGGACGTACAGATCGCCACACGCTGCCCTCTAGGGATAAAGGTATCAACCCAAACATCTTGAAGGACTGTGTTGCTCACCAAGTTCGTCGAGAACGAGGGGAGGTGGAGGCCTGAAAGAGAGCCCTAGGGGACTGCCAGACACGGGAGGACAGTGGAGGCTCGCGCTACTACTGGGCCCCCAGTGGGGTCAGCCAGTGATGCTGGGACAGGTGCTGCGAGCGGTATGACTGCGGTTCAATCACGAAAGAAGCAACGTGACGCTCCTGAGTCAAGTGTAAAAGTGTGCAATGCCTCACCTGAGGCAGGACCAGTGGCAGTAGACTCACTACCACCTAGAGCTGCAGCAGACTCACTAGCACCTAGAGCAGCAGCAGACTCACTAGCACCTAGAGCAGAGCCTCTACACAACAAGGGACGCCTCGCTGAGAAACACAGTCGCGAAGCCGCTGCAGGGAGAAGGTCTCCTGCTGCCGCCGTTGTCTAGACCATATAAAATCATAACCTCCACCACCAGGATGGCCTCGCTGAACGATCCACTCACGAGTCTGCTGTGGTGAGAGAGTGTCCAGGTGCGCGGGCTGTCGCTACTGTCCAGCACCTCCAGCACGATAACCTCCACCACCAAGACGACCTCGCTGAATAACCCACTCGCGAAGCTGCTACTATGATACAGTGTCCGGGTGAGGCAGTGGCTGCTGTTGTCCACCCCTAGACGCTGCTACGACTATGACAGTGGCCATGATAGGCAGTGGCCGTCAGTAGCAGCGGCGCAAGGGCGGTATTAGCGACTGTTGTAGCTGCAACTGTAGCAGTAGCTGCAGCTGTAGCAGTAGCGGTGGTCGCTGTGGCTTTAACAGTAGAAGCGACAGTTGCAGTGGCTCTGGAGGCCAGTAGGGTGCGTGGGCAGCAGGGGACGGGCTAGCGCAGTAACAGCAGCAGTGGCAGCAGTAGCAGTAGTAACGCTAGCGGCTGCAGGGCAGAGCAGCGCGGGCCGAAGGGCAGGGCAGCACGGCTCGCGGGTTGCAGAGCAGGGCGGCGTGCGAGCCTAAGGGCAGAACAGCGCAGATCGCGGGCTGCAGAGCAGGGCAGAGCGGCTCTAAGGGCAGGGCGACGCGCGGGCCTAAGGGCAGGGCAGTGCAGCGCGTGGGCTGCAGGGCAGGGTAGGGCAGCGCGGCTCAGGCGGCAGCAGCAGCCTAGCAGCAGCAGCAACTTAGCAGCAGCAGCAGCCTAGCAGCAGCAGCTTAGCAGCAGCAGCAGTGCAGCAGCAGCAGCACAGGTGGCAGCAGCAGCCTAGCAGCAGCAGCAGCCTAGCAGCAGCAGCAGCAGCAGCAGCAGCAGCAGCAGCCTAGCAGCAGCAGCAGCTCAGCAGTAGCAGCAGCGCAGCCGGCAGCAACATCTTAGCAGCGGCAGCAGTGCAGCAGCAACAGCACAGGTGGCAGCAGCAGCAGCTCAGCAGTAGCAACAGCGCAGCCCGCAGCAGCATCTTAGCAGCACGAGCACAGGTGGCATCAGCAGCCTAGCAGCAGAAGCAGTGCAGCATCAGCAACACAGGTGGCAGCAGCAGCACATGTGGTAGCAGGGGCTCGGCAGGGCAGAGTGCAGGTGCAATAGCGCGTGTAGCAGCAGCTGTAGCAGCAGTGCTTAGCAGCAGCAGCAGCGCATGTAGCAGCAGCAGCAGCTCATGTAGCGTTAGCAGTGCATGTAGCAGCAGCAGTAGAAGCAGCACGCTTAGCAACAGCAGCAGCGCTTAGTAGCAGCAGCAGCGCATGCAGCAGTAGCAGCTTCATAAGGGACAGCAGCAGCAGCAGCAGCAGCAGCAGCAGCAGCAGCAGCAGCAGCAGCACCAGCAGCGCGCATCAGCACGGATGGGCAGGGCGCAGGCAGGGTGCGCGTGAGTGCGGGTGGGGTGTGCGCGGGCAGGGCGTAGGCCGGGCGCAGGCTGCTGGCGGGCAGTGCGAGCGGGCAGGGGCGCAGTGGCGCTCGCGGGCAGGGGCGCAGTGGCGCTTGCGGGCAGGCAAAGCGCTCGCGGGCGGGCAATGCGTTAGGCAGCTGGCAGCGTGATTGCGGGCAGGGCAGGGCAGCGCGCGATTGCGGGTGGGGCAGGACAGCGCAATCGCGCTAGAGGGGCAGCACGTAGAACAGCGCATGCGGCAGCACTAACGGCACCCGTGGGGAAAAACGAACAGTGCTGCCTCAGGGCAGCGCGCTACGGGTAGTTATAACCTAGCAGCGCGACGCAAGCTTTCCATGCGTCAGACAGTGTTGTACTCCCTACAGCCCTACTCACTATAGCCTCAACATAATGAATAACATTTGACAAATTGGACCACGAATGTGATAAGAAAGGGAGTTGCGCACGTAGGGGTACCGTGCTTCAGGCAGACGTAGGACAAAAAAATTGATACGTATGTTCTGTCAAGCCTAGAGGCAGGTATTTTTGTTATTTACCGCATTCAAGAAAGAATGTTATTATTATGCTAAACAAATTCAACAACCCTAATCACTATTATTCTTACAGAAGGTACCGTACATTGTTCTGGGACACTGCTTAGCTATAATCCCATTGCACTGGCGCTCTGATGGGAATCCAGACCTATGGGAGTGCCTCGGTGGAGGTGACGGACTCCAAGAGGCCATGTGGATCACCACCTGGGATCCATGTGGACATCGAAGCACCATCCGAACCATCCGTCTGCTCGTTCGGATGAAACCCTAACTGAGCTACACCGCAGACGATAATCGGTAAGTTCACCGTCAAGTTACTGACGGCCGTCAGGTTTTCTGTCTGTGTTGCTGGATTCAGGAACCACCAGGCGGAGTTGGTTTGACTTCTTGAAAACCTAAAATTGATGCCCGTCTTTGCCTTTGCCTGTTTTCTGTTTCTACGCAATGGCTCAGACCACGCACGAAACCCTAGATGGACTTTTAGGTTAGGTTCCCTCAGTTTCTTTCCCCCGAATAACGTGACTGTCGTCGCTTCTTTCATTTCCTTTTGGATGTAGGTTATTGTATTCGATTTCTGTTTATGGTATCGTCAGGCGTAGGCTATTCTCGGTCGTCTAGGGTTCCATGGAGGCGTCAGGGAGTTGAAGGGAGGCCTTGGGTCTCGTGTGTGCGAGATGGAGTTGCATCGCGGGGAGGGGTCCGCGGAAATCTCGTCAGGTCGTTTCCAGGCGCCTCCCCTCGGCGTGCCGTGCTCGCGGCCCGTCTCGGTATCGGACGTTCTGGCAGACGGCGGCCGGCTGTTCTTGCATTCGTCCAGAGGCGTCATGGGAGCCTCGATATTACCGCAGAAGCGGCTGCTTGCCGGCCCGAAACAGAACGGATGGTTTTCCGTTTCTGACGCGTCCGGAGCGACTCTGTCCTTCTCGGGAGCGTCTGCTCGGAGCGACTCAGCTTTTTCCAGTCGCAGCCGCAACGGCGGCGTTAACGGGACGGCTAACGGAACGCATAGCGGAGTGCATTCGGGGGATCTCGCAGCAGCGGCGACGGCGTTAGGTTTACAGCCGGTGGTTCTTTCGTGCAGCCGCAGCGCCGCCGAGCGAGCGAATCGCCTGGCATTCCAGACGAGTGCTTCCGATAGAGGGTCTGATTCGTTCAAAGAACCCGACTCGTTAAAAGGACCCGACTCGTTTCGCTGTAGCGTTCGTCCTGGTGAGGAGTCCTCCAGCCTTCAGAGCATCCGTCAAGATTCGACGGTGAAGGATGCACCGCCGAGTCTGGGGTTCTCTAGTCGCTTGCTCTCGCCTTCTCGCCACCGGCAGCGGTCGCAGAGAAAGCATGGCGAGGCGGTAGCGCAGGCAGGAGGTAGAGACGTGAGCATCGGAGACGCGTCGAAGAGCGACGACGGACGGAAGGACGCGCGCAGTCGCAGCCCGCATGTTCATGGCAGGGTGTCGCACAAGGAGTCGGATAAAGTTTCGCAGGAGTCGTACAAGGATTTGCACGGGCATTCGCACAGGGAGTCTCATGTCACGCATCAGGAGCGAGAATTGCAGGGCGCGGAGTTAGTAGAGAGTACAAAGCCGCATTCTGACGTTAACCGTTGTGAGTCAGAGCAGCGAAAGGCGATAGACGGGGATAACTCGTTTCCGCGAGGGCAGCGATTCCAGCAGCAGCAATGTGACGGGCGATTACCCGCAGAGGACGCAGGGACAGGGGACACGGGTATGGGGACTGGTGAAGGTGCCAAGGGCGAGCGTGGGAGTTGTCTGTCGTTATCTGTTGCAGATCTGAAGGCCAAAGCAAGCCAGGGGAAGACTCGAGGTTATCAGGCTTCTGGAGCCTCGTCTGAGCAGCAGTTGGTGAGACGCAAAAACCGACCTCCCTTTTTTTTGTGTGTGATTTTTTTTTTTTCGCTGGATGCAGTCGCGCACTTTTTTCTTTCTTTCTTTCTTTCTTTTTTTCTTTTTCTACGCGTTTGTGCGACTAACATCTTGTTCTCCTGTGCTTTTGTGCAGATTGGTAACGCAGGGACAGCAGCAGAGCGGATATCCTTTCACAGCAGCTTATTACCTGACCCCACGGCGGCAGAAAACTCTCCAGCGGCAGCAGTGGTTCACGAGCTGGTCTTCAAAGCGAAATCAATCACACCATCAGATCAATTACTCGCCGATAACGACATTTCCAGGCGAACAGGGTTACCACTGGTCAGTCATGCGCTGATGGACTGCGGGAATTTTCTCTACCCTCCGTTCAAGAAGGCTCGAGCCACCAGGGAACCCAAGTTTCGCAAGCCCAACGTGAGCCGACTACAAGGCCTGGCCGAACCTCCGTGCTGCACAGGCTCGGAACCGAACCTGTCGTTGAGCCTGTCCTTGCAAGACCGCAATACCGAGCGTGAATCGCCACCCGCCCCGCTGTCTGTGACCACGCCTCGCGCTGATAAGCACAATGGCTTATCAGGGGAGAGTCAGCCCGCCCGTCCCAGCACGCCCATTCCCCCCGCTACTCCGTCCTTCTCGCTTCTGGAAGGCCCTCTGTCGTTTTCTCCGATCACGCCGGAGGGGGAACTCTCGCTTGACGATTCCGCGACTGCCGCCCGCCTTCGAGCCGTCTCAGCCGCTCGGGCAGCCGTAGAAGCACGCGCATTCGCCGTCAGAAAAGCGCGAGCGGCTTTACGGGCAGCTGCGAAGGCGAAGGAGGCGGTAGCGGCGGTGATTCACGCGGAGAAGCACGAACGGGCAGCAGGAGAGGAAGCGAGCCATAGCTGCCCAGTCAACGGTGTAAATGGGTATCTGGGGGCTGATGCTGTGGGGACGGGCGATTTAGTGGCGGGAGGGGAGCTGGACGGTACAGACGTGTCCAGGAACGGTGCAGTGCGGTTTTCTTCGAGGTGGCGGCAGGCCTTGTCGGAGCTAGAGGCGCGCTGTGAATGGCTTCTAACGCGTACAGGAGCAGCAGCTGCTGATAGCGAGACAGGCGGGAGAGCCGTGACGGCAGGTGCAAAGCCCGAGGAGTGCGAGCAAGGGGAAGAGCGGGGAGTTGGTGAGACTGCTACGGGTTTCAGGGGGAGAGGCGAGAGTGGGGGGAGTGGTGGCTCTGAGATTCCGCTCGGGCTCAATCCGTCTGCAGGAAAGAGCGGGGGCTTTGAGATTCCGCAGGGCGCTCATAACACGCTGGACCTCCACCTGAGTAGACCTGACGTCGCTGATTCTGCCCTAGCGCTGGCAGTCAAGGAAGAGGAGACGACCCGTGGGGAGAAGGAAAGGGGGTTGGCTTCACGAGAACGGTGCTTGGCGTGGGGTGATGAGACGGCAGAGGGGAATGAGGCGGGGGTGCAAAGCGGCGAGGTACGGCGGTGTGTGTCCGTGGACCTGGTGATGGGCCTGGGCCGCTCGTCTCAGGGGCAAGACGGCAGTGACGGGTGTTACGTGGGTGGTGCTGATGGGAGAGAGGGAGCCGGGCAGGCTGCAAGAGAGAAAGGAAGGGTAGAGAGACGGAAGGGGCGGCGGGAAGCGGAGGAAGAGGAAGAGGAGCAGGAGGAGGAGGAGGAGCAGGAAGAGGAGGAGGGAGCGGTTGAGATGGAGGAGCTGCATCTGCCGCCTGTTTCACGGGAGAGTGAAGAGTACAAGCAGCCACGACCGCCGCCGCTGCCATTTGGTGCAGCGCACTGCAAGCTCGGTGACGCCGAGCACCGCAAGCCGGATGAGGGTGAACGTGAACATGGCAAGCAGTGGCATTCCAAGGCTGGGAGTGGCAGCAGCCAGGGGCGCAGCCGCGGATTCAGCCCGCGTGACCGCCCAGATGGGCTGGCAGGCGCGGCGGTGGCTGTTGAGTCGACTCAAGCTTCAGATGCGAGGGTTTCAATCAAGGCAGGTTGCGAGAGGCGAGGGCAGCACGGGTGTGGCGACTTGGGGGAGCAGCGCGAGGGTTACGCGTCAGCAGTAGCGTGCAGTGGGGACGAGACGCGACAGCTGATGCCCCGCCACGGGGGCTTCTGCAATGCTGCCGCTAACAGCGGTTTTCCGTCCGCAGATGGCAATGCTGCTTCAGCAGGTGGCAATTCTGTGTCAGCAGGTGGCAATGCTGTGTCAGCTAATACCGCAGATGTATCGAGCATTCATGCAGGAGCCAGCGTCCCCGCGACGGCTTGCAACCACCATGCCACTGCGTGCTGTTCTGACCCGGGTGTGGTTGGGGACGGTGATGAGGAGAAGAGCGTGCGAGAAGTGAGGCAGGAGGGCGGTCAGGCGTGTGGCGAGGGGTCGGCAGCAACGGGTGGGGAGAGGGATGCTGAGAAGTGCGCAGGACGGAATGGTGGTGGTGGTGGTGGTGCTGTCATTGTCACTGATGCTGGTGATGCAGGTGGTGGGAGGAAGGCACAGGCGACCGAGTTTTGTGGGGATGAGGGTGGACAGGGCGTTGGAGGGCACAACATCGGGATCGTGGGCGTGGGGCGACGCACAGGGGCAGTGGCCTGTGCATCAGCGGGTGCGGCCGGAGGTGTGGGCGGAGGGACTGTAGTAGGAGAGGAGAAGGAGATTGGTGGAGCCAAGGAGGGGACAGAATCTGCAAGTGCTGCTGCGGGTGCTGCCGCTGCTGCTGTTGCGTCTGATAATGATGCTGCTGCTGCTGCTTCTGATGCTGACGCCACTGCTGCAAGAGCTGCAGACGCCGCTGTTCCTCCCGCTCTTCCCGCCACTTCCACGCCTGCGAACACTGCAGCTGGTGCCACTGCCTGTGCTGTTGCTGCTCCTTGCACCACTGCCGCCACCATCACTGCCAGTGCTGGTTCCCTGGGTACTCGCCCAGCAATGAGTCCCGCTCCCCCCGCTGCCCCCACTGCCACCCCCTCTGCCCCCGCTGCCCCCAGTGCCCCCACTGCCGCCACTGCCGCCACTGCCGCCGCTGCCCCCACTGCCGCCACTGCCCCCACTGCCGCCACTGCCGCCACTGCACCCACTGCCGCCACTGCACCCACTGCTGCTGCTGCCCCCACTGTCACCACTGGCCCGACTGTCCCTCGCCCGTGCGAGGATGAGAAGCCAGCACAGAAGCAGCGCCAACCCTTTAACAGCTCCCCTCGTACCACTGCCGCGGCCGCCACTGCTGCTGCTGGCACTGCCACTGCCGTTGCTGCCTCTAGTGTCACTACCGCAGATGCCTCTGCTGCATCTGCCGCTGCTCCCTCTACCACTGCCGTCGCTACCTGTGGTGTCACTACCGTGACTGTTGCTGCCTCTGCCACTGCTGCCCCTGCTGCTCCGCGTGCTGCTCCTGTTGCTCCTGCAGCTGCTGCTGCCGCCGCTGTTGCTGCTGCTGCTGCTGCTGCTGCTGCCCCGCCTGCTGCCGCTGTCGCCCCTGCAGCTGCTGCTGTTGCCCCTTCTGCTGCTGCTGCGTCGCCAGGCAGTGCGGCAGCAGCGGGCGCGGGCACTCCGCGACAGCGCTGCCCGTCAGACGACGAGAGGCTGGCGCGGCAGCTGCACCGCGCCTTCAACAGCTCCCCGCGCATCCTCGCCGTCCTCGCGCCCACGCCCAAACGCTCCCGCAACCCCCGCCACCCCGCTGCACCCGCTGCCGCGCCCGCTGCTGCGCCTGCTTCTGCGCCTGCTGTGGCTAATCCTGCGCCTGTTGCTCTTGGGGTGTCTGGGAAGACAGGACGGGGGAGTGCGGGGGAGGCGAAGGGGAGAGGAGAGGCTGCGGGGAAAGCAGAGGTATGGGGGAAGGTGGCAGTAAGGAGAGATGGGGCGGCGAAGGTAGGAGAGGGCAGCGATAAGGATGGGAAGGCTGCTGGAAATGTGGATAGGGCCCAAGTTAAGGAGGACCGTGAGGTTGAAGGTGTGGGTTCTGGTGTTGCTGGTGCTGCTGGTGTTATTGGTGTTGTTATCGGTGGTGGTGGTGTTGGTAATGCTGATAGGTGTAAAGCTCCGCCGAGTGACACTCCAACTGGCGGACCCACCCCTGTGGCTGCTTCTGCTGCTGCAGCTTCTCGTGCTCCGCCTCTCCCGCCCCTTCCTTCTCTTCTTCCTTCCCCCCCTCCTCCTGCCGCTGCCGCGGGCTCATCCTGCACTCCCCCGTCTCACTTGCCGCCCCCATCATCTGCCGAGGCCCCCCTCCCGCCCTGCGCCACTCCCCCTGCCGCTCCACCCTGCGCCACTCCCCCTGCCGCTCCGCCCTGCGCCACTCCCCCTGCCTCTCCGCCCTGCCCCACTCCCCCTGTCGGCCCCTCTTGCACCAAACCCCGCCCCATTTCCCTCGCCTTCCTTGATGTAGCCCACTTACCCCGCGCAGGTGACGTCAGCCCTAAGAAAGATCTCTGTCCCAAGTTGGCTGTTGCTGAGACTGAGGCAGGCAGAGGGGCGGCAAAACAGGAGAATGGGGAGAAGGCTGGAGCGGGCCGCGGGCAGACGAACGGGCAGATGGACGGGCAGGCTGGCGGGCGGGTAGATGGGCAGGCGATTAGGGTTTCGGATGTGACCCCGGGGGATGGTGGGACGGGAGGTGGTGGGAGTGGGGGGTTAGTATTGAATGGTCGGGGCGCGGAAGAGGGCCGTGTGCGGAAGCGAGGGGGTGGGGGGGGAGGAGGGTCAGGGGGAGGTGGCGCAGGGGGATGGGGGGGTGGCGGAAGCTGTGGAGGGGGTAAGGCGGGTAGTAATGGGAGGGGAGGGGCAGCAGGCGGAGGGGGTGGGGGTGGGAATGGGGCGGGGGGCGGTGCAGGGGGGGGCACTGGTGGTGCCGGGGATGGCGGAAGAGAGGGCGGCGGAGGGGGAGGGGGAGGGAGTGGAGGGAGGGCGGGGGATGTTGCTAGTGAGGAGGAAGAGGAGGAGGACAGAGGGCGGAAGGGAGGGAGGAAGGCGGGCAACGGCAAGAGGTGTGAGAGGAGAGGCAGCACCAGAGAGACTAGTGGGAATGGGAGGAATGGGAATGTTGGCAGCAGCAGCAGCGATGATAGCTTGAGTAACCGTGAGGAGGACGAGGGGGAGGAAGATGAGGAGGAGGAGGAGGATGATGGAGAAATGGACGGTTCAGATGATGAGAGCAGCCCCAGGCGCAGCAGCATCGCCAGCAGTCGCGACGGCAGCAGCAATGGCAGCAGCGGGAGCAGCGACAGGGAAGGGGAGGAGGAGGAAGAGGAGGGAGAGGATGAGGAGGAAGACGAGGAGGAAGAGGAAGAGGAGGAAGATGAGGAGGAGGAGGAGAAGGAAGGTGTGGAGCAGAAGGCGCAGAGGAAGCAGCGAAGGAGCTTGAGCGGGGCTCGAAGTGCGCAGGGTGGCAGGCGAGGCTCGTGGGGGCGGTGGGACGAGAACGGCGGGAAGGGCAGCCGCGACAAAGGCAGCGGAGGTTCGGCCCCTAGCGGCAGGGGGGAAAGGGAGAGGGAGAGGGAGAGAGAAAGGGAGAAGGAGACGGAGCGGGAGGGGAGTCCGGACGTGGGGGGTGGGGGGGCGTGGGCGAGTGAGGCGGGTCAGGAGGGTGGCGGAGCCAAAGCAGGTTTGCGAGTGAACCACCACAGGGGCAGCGGCCGGGCGTCAGAGGGGGCGATTTTGGGCGGAGACACGTCTCCCGTCATTCCCGTACCTTCGAAAGAAGCTCGGCAGCCGCGTTCGCAGCTGGTTTGTCACCCGAGGCGGTTCCCGAAGCTGGCTTTAGCGGGGATAGTGGAAGGCGAGGGTGGTGAGGAGGGTAAGGAGGGGAAGGGCGAGGGGAAGGTGAAGGAAAGCGGATGGGAGAAGGTGAAGGGGTTGGTGAGGGAGAAGGAAGGGGAGAAGCGAGATAAGAGGCGGAATGGGTTGGGGGAGGAGTATGGAGGGGAGAGGATCAAAAGGGCTTGGGAGAAAGAGAAAGAGGGGGTGAGGATGAGTGAGGTCGAGGGTTTTATACAGAAGCAGAGGGACAAGGGTGGCGGGATGGAGAAGCAGAAGAAGCGGGAGAAGGAGAAATCAAGAGAACGAAGCGTTGCAGAGGAGTGGGGAGTGGTGGCTGACAGAATGAGTGAGTGGGGGGCGGGGAAAAGCAAGGGGAAGGCAGAACCGGTGGGGAGCGGCGAGTGGGAGAAGGAGCGGGAGAGAGGCGCCAAGGCTGGGTTTGCGGAGAGGGAGGCAGAGAGCAGAGCGAAGCTTAAAGAAGGGAAGGATGCGAGTGGGGGCATGGCGTGGGGAAGGGCAAGCGAGAGAGGGAGGGATCACTTGGGAGACTTGGGGAGGAGTAAGGGAAGAGAAGGCGGCAAGGAGGGAGGGTTGGGGGACGAGAGGGAGAAAGGTCGGGCGGTTTCGGAGAGGCCAGAGGGTGATGAGCGATACGAAGCGGTTGAGAGAGTCAAGGACAAAGAGAACATCCGAGGACGACTCAAGGATGTGGGGGATATTGAGAGGGCGGAGAAGAGCAAGCAGGAGGAGCGGAAGAGTGAGAAGGGAAGGGGCAAGGGGCGGGATAACCACGTGTTAGTAAGGAGCGGAGAGGGTGGAGAGGCATGGATGGTCGAGCCGAAGAGAAAAGACAAGTCTGAGGGCTTTGTGGGTGGGAAGCAGCAGCGGGACGGGGTAGGGCCACATTCGCTAGTGTCACACTCGTTAGTGCCTTCGTTACTGGCTCGTGCTACTGTAGCTCCGCAGGTGGAGGGGAAGCGATGGCGGAAGAAGGGTATTGTGGCGGGCCGGGCGCGGAGTGCTGTAGAGCAGGACACTATAGAGGATGTGCTCTTAGAGGATCTTAGGGATCGTGACACTAAGGAGGGGATCAGGAAGGAGAATTCTGCGAAAGGTGCTGAAGGAAAGGAGAAAGGGAAGGTGAAGGGTAAGGGAGAGAAGGAGAAGGAGGAGAGGGAAAGAGAGAGGGAGAGGGAGAGGGATGCGGAGAGGGGTGTGGTCAAGGGTGTTGGGGAGACTGATGTGCCTCTCAGCGTGCCTCCCAGTGGTAATGGTGGCTTGACGGCAAGCTGTAAGCGCAAGCGCAGTGCGGAGAGAAGTTTCTCGGATGGTTCTGCTGCGGTGCGTGCGGTATCCTGTCACGCTGGTGGTAACCATGTGCCGGCTAGTAACGTTGCTCACCCTGGTAACCACAGGCACGGTGGTAACAACGTTCATGCTGCTGGTAACCACATGCACGCAGGTATTCCCGCTCAGGCTAGTAACCATCCACACGCCTGTAACCACACTGACGCCGCTGGGGCAGATTTCGCAGTACCAGGAGCAGCAGCAGCAGGTGGGGGTTCGATGGGAGGAGCAGCAGTGGCAGGAGGGGTGACGGGAGGAGGAGAGCCAATGGGGGGCGTGGAGCGGATGGGAAGAGCACCAGTCGTACCCAGGGCGAGAAGCGCAGACGCGTTTACAGCACAGAGGAACGCGGACAGAACAGCAGGGCATAGGAGCGCGGATGAAAGTGGGGGCCGCAGGAGTGGGGACGGATTTGGGGGACCTATGTCGCCGCCTAGGGTCAGAGTGAAGAAAGCAGAGAGTGGCAGTGGTGGGGGCGAGAGGGAGGCGTTTCGTGCGTGCACGAGTCCCACAGGGCGAGGTGTGGCGCCCAGCAGCACTGCGTCATCGTGGGGCGAAGGTGAGGCTGCGTGGGTGCTTGATGCGTGGCTGGTGCTCGGTGCTTGGCTCTGCAATGGTCCGTGACCGTCTTCCCGTTGCAACATTGCAACGATCATAGATTTGTCATTGCTGTGCTTCCCGGCTGTCTTTCCTCCTTGTCATGTCTTGACGTGGGAGGTATGGGACAAGCAAACAACCTCCCACCGTCTCGCTTCGTCTCCGTTATTTCCATGCGAGCAACCGCCTTTGCATCGTGCTGTCTGATGTCTCACCTGCTACTGCACTCCAAAGTCTCAGCCCTTCCCTCCCATCCGCCTGTTCCTGCTGCCCTGCCCCCGTGCCCACATCCCCCCGTGCCCACATCCCCCCGTGCCCACATCCCCCCGTGCCCACATCCCCCCGTGCCCACATCCCCCCGTGCCCACATCCCCCCGTGCCCACATCCCCCCGTGCCCACATCCCCCCGTGCCCACATCCCCCCGTGCCCACATGCCCCCGTGCCCACATCCCCCCGTGCCCACATCCCCCCGTGCCCACATCCCCTCCCGCTGCTGCTTCTCTCCCCGTGTGCCAACTGCCGACTGCTGCCCCTCTTTCCCCTCCAGGTACCCACACAAAGAGGCAAACCCTACCACACCAAACCCCACCACTCCAAACCCAATCTGACAGCGTCCTCCGTTCACCAGGACATGCGACCATTAACCACGACGCTCACCACTCTCTTGCCACTGCTCCGCGGCCTTCCGCCCACTGCTCTGTTCCTCTGCCTGCGGATCCTTCCCCGCATGCCACTGCTGCGGAAGCAGCAGCCCTGGCTCTAGACATGTTTGCCGCTGCCGCTGCTGCTGCGGAGGCGGGTGGGCAGGCAAGCAAGGAGGAGGAGGACGAGGGAGGAGGAGAGGGAAGTGACAGCGGTGGTAGCAGCAGCAGCCGCAGCGGCAGCAGGAGACACAGGAAGAAGCAGCGTTGGGGGAAAGAAGGGAGGAGGGATGGGAGAGAGACGGGTGGGCCTGTGGTGGAATCTACACCGTTGGATCGGCTCGCGTTACTTTCAGATGCACAGCCACGTGTCCATGAGGATTCGCTAGGGCGGCAGAGAGCAGCGTGGGTGGAGGCCAGAGAGGAGGGGCGGAGTGGCGCTGGGGATGGCACGGGCACGGCACTGGTTCAGCTAAGTGCGGGTGTTGCTCAGTTGAGTGCTGGCGGGGAAGCTAGTTCCCATGCTGCTTGGAGCTCAGGTGTTGGCGTTGCGGGTGGTAATGCAATACAAGTAGAAGAGGAAGGACGAGGAGCAACAAGAGAAGGAGCAGGAGCAGTAGGAGGAGGAGGAGGAGGAGGAGGAGGAGGAGGAGGAGGAGGAGGAGGAGGAGGAGGAGGAGGAGGAGGAGGAGGAGGAGGAGGAGGAGGAGGAGCAGGAGCAGGAGTAGGAGGAGAGGTTGTGAACGAGGAGCGTAGAAGTGACGAAGACAAATGTCTGTCTGGGCTAGACCTCATAGCAGCAGAGGCAGCGGAGGTGCTTGCAGTGAGGCTGCTTGTATCGGGTATGCAGCCCGAGCGGGCGGCAAGCCCGTCTTTAGCGGCGCTAGTAGAAGCAGCGATGCTGCCTTGTAGGGGGGACAGCAGGGCAGGAGACAGGGAGACTAGCGGGAGGGAGGATTTAGAAAGGGAGGATATAGGGTTGGCGCATATAGGTAGGGTGGATACAGCAGAAGGTGTGGGTGGGGGGTGTGGCGCGAGTCAGGGCGCAATGCAGCATGAGGAGAGGCCGAGGGGTGAGGTGGGGCGAGCAGTGGGGTGGGATATGGAGAAGGCTGCTGGGCTGGGGCAGGCGGAGTGGGATTCAGAGACAGCGGGCACAGAGAGGCATGCAGGGGCGGTGCAGGAGTTGGGGGAGAGAGGGGTTGGGGTTTTGGAGACAGGGGTTGGTTGGCATGGATTGCAGGTGTGGTTCGAAGGAGGGTCACATGGAAGGTTGCAAGGGGAAGGGTTACAGCAAGGGCGGTTACAACAGGAAGAGTTACAACCAGAAGGGTTGCAACAGAAAGGGTTACAAGGGGAAGGGTTGCAAAAGGAAGGGCCAGCACAAGGGAAGGCGTTGCAGGAGGCGTTGCAGGAGGCGTGGAGGCCGAAGCCGAGGATAGTGGACTTGAACGAGCCGTGGCGAGAGGAGGACGAGGAGGAGGCTGAGGTGGTGGTGGGAGAGGCGGTGGAGAGTGCAGCAACGGACCGAACTTCCCCCTCGCATGCAGCAGTGCTCCCAGCAGCGGTAGCTACAGCTGTTACAGCGGCTAAAGCTGTTGCAGCTGCCACGGTTGCTACAGCCCCGGTGCCTCACGGGGCACCATTGCTGCCAGCAGCAGCGGCTCTTGCGCCTGCAGCAGCCAGCGCACGTGCTGCGGAGCTAGAGGCCGCTCACCCACGCCCAGCAGCCGCCACAGCGCCTGCTGACAGCCCACGTGCCGGGGAATCTGAGCCTTCGCCCCCACAGCCAACAGCCGTCACGGTGGTGCCTGCAGCTGGTGCAGGCTGTGAGGCGGCTTCGAGTGCTCCTCCCGCGTCACTGGCAGCAGCCGCGGTAGCAGCACCACTTCTAGTAATAGCCGGGGGTGCCGGTGTCAGTGTCAGCGCAGGTGTCGGTGCTGGTCTTGGCGCCAGTGTTAGTGCTGCCGCTCGTGCTGGTGCTGATGCCGGCACTGATGCTGATGCTGCATGTGAGAGCAAAGCGCGTGGCCCAGCTGCTTGTGTGGATCCTGGGACTCGCCCGGGAGAGCCTCACGCTGCACGTCTGCACCTGGTGGGGGCGGATGAGCAGGAGTGCGCGGGTCCCAGCGCCCCTCTCCTGGTGTCGTGCAGCTCTGCAGGCGCAGGCCCGGATGATGATGGCCTTCATAGTGCAGGCATGCGGGAGAAGGGGGGAGTTACGGAGAAGCAGTGGCGGGCGGAGGGGTTGTGGGGCGCAGGAGAGGAGAAGGAGAGGAATGTGATGAAAGGGGAGGGGGGTGGGAGGGCAGGGGGTGGGGAGAAGGGTGGGGAGAGTGAGAAGCGAGAGGACAAGGTGAAGGCGGAGAGGGTGGCGAGGGATGAGGGAGGGAGAGAGGGGAATGTGGATGAGGGTGTGAGGAAAGAGAGAGGAGAGAAGAGGAAGCGGGACAAGAGGGAGAGGGGCGAGAGGAGAGAGAAACGGGAGAAAAGGGATAGAGGGGAAGAGAGGGGGAAGGACAGAGGACGAGGGGAAAAGGGAGAGAAGAGAGGCAAGGGAGAGAAGGAGAAGAGGCGTAAGGGGGAGAGAAAGGAGAAAGGGGAAGGGGTGAAGGGGGAAGAAGTGAAGACCGAGAAGGGAGTTAGGCCAGTGGGAAGAGGGGGTGGGGAAGACGGGGAGAGGGGGAAGGAAGAGGAGGAGTGTGCTGCGGTTGAGGCTACGAGGAGCAGGGCAGCAACGTTGGAGTCGGTGGTTGGGCCGCGGACAGCAGAAACGCAGGATATGGGCACAGCAAAGGCAGGGGCAGCAAAGGCAGAGGCAGTGCAAGCAGGGGCAGGGGTTGATGCAGAGGCAACCGCTCTGTTGGGGGTGGTGGCGGGGGTGGCTGCGGCACGTGAGGCTGAGCGAAGTGAGGTGAAGGCAGAGATTGGAGAGATGGGGGCGATAGGGGCCAAGGGAGCGCAGGGGGGGAATGGGACGGAGGAGGAGGAGGTGAAGGAGGGGAAGGGAGGTGCAGGTGAGAGGGTAGTGGTTGAGCAGGAGGGTGGGGCGAAGGCCGACGTGGTTAAATGGGAGGAAGGAACGGCCAAGTCGGAGAGTGGGATGATTAGGGATGGGAGGATGGGAGAGGGGAGGATGGGAAAGGCAAGGATGAAAGAGGAGGCAGTGGAGGAGGAGGTGAGGGGTGAGAGAGGAGAGGGAGCGGTGAGAGAAGAGGGGATGGTGAGGGAGGGTGGTATAGCGAGAGAAGAGGGTATGGAGAGGGAGGAGGGCTTGGTGTGTTGGAACGATGATGCGCTGTCAGATGTGAGTGAGGATGCTGATGCCGAAGCTAATGCCGAAGCTGTTGCCGAAGCTGATGCCGAAGCTGATGGCATGGGCGCTGGAGGCTCTGCTGCTGCACTCAGGGAGGGCAGGTTCGGTGAGGAGAGGAGGCGTGATGGTGGTGCTGTTGGGGAGGGTGTGGAGGAGCATGGCAAGAGTGGGCCTGAGACCTCCAAAGAATATCCTATGCGCCCAGCCTCACCTCAACCTCAACCTCAAGCTGAACCTGAGTTTGAACCTGAAGTGGGCCTACAGAGTGATTCCTCCAATGCTCACGGTCGACTCAAGCCCACATTCTCTGATGTCACCGAACCTGATACTTCTGAACCTGCAGTCTCCGAGCCTAGCTTTGAGGCTCCCCAGAAGGGGCCTCATGCCTCCGAACCTGACACGACGGAAGTGGGTGGTTCCGAAGCTGCTGCTGCAACCGAAACTATGGAAATGGATGCTCTGTTATTGAGCCGACTCAAGCCTGCACTCTCTGATGTCACCGAACCTGATGCTGCCGAGCCTGATGGTTCCGAACCTGACGCTATGGATGAGATTTCTCCTCTTCATGTGCTCCCAGACTTGGAGGCAGCTTCGGCTCCAGGTTCGGCTGCATCTGCTCTAGGTTCGGCAAGCAAGGGGCTTTCATCCCCAGGTTCAACAAGTAAGGCCTCTTTGACTCCAGGTTCGGCAACCAGGCCTAGCCAAAAGGTTCGGAGGGAGCAGGATCAGGAGCGGAGGGAGCATCAGGAGATAACGGGGGAGGAGAGTAAAGGAGAGCTGGTTCCGGGTAAGAGAAAGGGAGGAGAGGAGAAGGGTGGGGAGAGAGAAGGGAGAGAAAAGGGGCGTGATAGTGGAAGTGAGGAAGGGAAAGGGAAGGTTAAGAAGGAAGAGAAGAGAGAAGGGGAGAGAAGGAAGGAAGGGGAGAGAGAGGGGTACAGGAAGGAACGAGTCCACAGAAGGAACTCGAGTTCGTCTTTTGATGTAGGGCGGGAGAAGGGAGAGGAGGGCAGGAGGGAAAAGGGGGAGGGGAGGAGGGAAAAGGGAGAGGAAGGGAAACGAGAGAAAAAGAAGAGAGCAGGAGAGGCAAGGGAGAGGACAGCAAGAGAGAGAAGGGGGAAGAGAGCAAGAGGGGTAAGGGGGAGGAGGGGAAGAAAGATGAGAAGAAGAGAGCTGAGAGTGTGGACAGGCGGGCAGGGAGTGAGAGAAGGGAGGGGAGCGAGAGGAGGGAGGGGAGCGAGAGGAGGGAGGGGAGCGAGAGGAGGGAGGGGAGCGAGAGGAGGGAAGGGAGTGAAAGGAGGGAGGGGAATGAGCGGAGGGAAGGGAGTGAGAGGAGGGAAGCAAGTGAGAGGAGGGAAGGGAGTGAGAGGAGGGAAGGGAGCAGACGGGCCGTGGAGAAGGGGAGGGGGCGGATGAGCAGTGTGGAAGGGGAGGAGGACAGTGAGGAGGGCGGGATTGGTAGGGGGAGCAGGGAGGAGCGAGGGGGGTAGGAGGGAGAGAAGTGAGGGAGGGATCGAGCGGGTGGGAGAGGGAGAGAGAGAAGGAGAGGGAAAGGGAAAGCAATTCGGGAGGACGTGGATTGTGGAGGGAGGGAGAGGAGAGAACGAGAGAGGGGAGGGAAGGTAGGGAGGCAGGAGATTGGAGAGAGGGAAGAGAAGGTAGAGAGGGAAGAGAGGGGAGAGAAGGGATGGAAGGGAGGGAAGCCAGGGAGTGGAGGAGGCCAGGGAGGAGTGGGATGGAAGGGATGGGAGAGATGCAAGAGAAAGCGGCCGAGACAGAGACAGCGCCAGAGAAGGCAGGGAGGGGAGAGAAGGGCGGGAAGGCCGGGAAGGGAGGCGCGAAACAGGGTTCAGCGATTGGCCGCTAGACCCGCCTCTGGATCCCGACGGCTTCCCCCTCCCCATCGACCCCATGCTGCTCCCCCGCTCTGCTGCCTCCGCTGCCGCCGCCGCTGCTTCTGCTTCGTGGCGAGACGGCCCCAGTCCCAGGCTGTCAGGAGGAGGTGCAGGAGGGGGCATGCGCAGGAGCCCCGACAGGGAGTTTTTCCTGGGGCCGGGAGGGGTAGGGGGGGCAGGGGGCGGGTGGGGCGCTGGGGGGCTTCACCCTCCCCCCCGCGGCCTTCCCCCCGGGCCAGGCAGGGCGTTTGGGGGAGCAGTGGGGGGGCCTATGAGCCCCGCTGTCATGGCTGCCGCTGCTGCTGCTGCCGCTGCTGCTGGGATGCCTGCAGGGTGGATTGGACCGCCAATGGGGCCACGACACCTGGCGGCGCGCCGTGCTTCTGCTGCTGCTGCAGCTGCGGTGGCGGCTGGCGGGATGGGGATGAGGGGAGGGCCGTTGGGGGGAATGGGAGGGGGGAGAGGGGGCGCTGGAGGGATGGAGGAGCTAGTGGAGTTGCACAGGAGAGGGGGGGAGCATGTGGGAGGGGGAGGGCCCATCCGGGGGAGGCACAGCCTGCGGGAAGCTGCCGCGCTACGCCGCCCGGAGCATCTAGCGGCAGCTGGGTTTGGAAGAGGCGGCATGCATGAGGTTTGGCGGAGGGACGGGTGGAGGGAGGCAGGCATGAGGTTAGGCCGGGAGGGCCCGGTCCTGGGATAGGCCCGGGAATGAGGATGGGTGGTGGGTTCGGAGGGTATGGGATGGGGCCTGGGCCGGGGATTCCGTTTGTTGGGGGGGGAGGGGGGATGTATGGTGGGGCCCCAGGTCTCCCCCGTGACCCTAGGGACCATTTTGCACTGGAGATGTGGAGGGGGGGTGGGGGGAGAGGCAGTGACGGGGGGAAGGGCGGAGGGGAGGAGGGATTCGGATGGGGGAAGGATGGGGTGGGACGAGCCTGGAGGCAAGGAGAATGGGGTGATGGGGGGGAGGGGATAGAGGGGGGCTTGGTCCCCCCACACCTTCTGGGGGAGGCCCAGGGGGAAGGGGGGGGGATGGGGGGGTTTCAGGCGGAGGGGAAGGGGAGAGGGGGGTTTCACCCATCGCCTGGAGCAGGGGAGGGGGAGTGGGGGGCGATGGGGAGCGGAGGGGAAGCAAGGGGAGGGGGAGAGAGGGGGGAGAGGGGAGGGGCGACAGGAGGGAGGCCTGGGGGAGGGGGCAGTGAGTGGGGCTCGCCTGTAGGAGCAGGATCGAGTGGGCGGAAGCAGCAAGCAAGCGGAGAGGGAGGGGGAGGAGGCAGTGGGGGAAAGGAGATGTTACGATCTGCTAACGGGCACCGCCGGTAGAGCTGGGTTGTGGAATTTTGGTATGGTACCTGGAGAGTGTATACTAGTGCTCTTTCAGCGGGAGCATGTTGACCGTTTCCGAGGGTTTCCCTTTCCAAGGATCTAGGCTAGCTTTTGCAGTTCTAACCAATGTCCTAGATATAATGTACTTACCAAAGCTATTACAACGTTTGTTCCATAGCCATGGCTCAAAATAATATTTTGCAGAGTTGTAGTGCAAATCATGGTTGGGCTTACGATATTGATTCTTATATCCATATTGATACATACAGAAAGTGTTTTTGTTTTTCCCCGGTTTCTACCAATAAATACCGTAAGTGTTTACCGCATCTAGATGCTCAAGGCCAGCAGCTCCAGCGGCCAGCGGCGAGAAAAGTGGCACGATTGTTGAAACGAGGTAAGGTAAGGGTACATTCCGCTGTAGAATATGTCCCAATCGATGTGTCCCAATCGATTGAGACGCGTACGTACAGCATATGAAGCCAGGTGTCGGTGTCAGAATGTATTTGCTGTCTAGCCTGCAGTGGGGTACTCTGTAATGAGTACAACCCAATTTAGGGTGTTGTACTTGTATCCCAACTCTTGCTAGTGAAACCACTCATTCTCCTTTCAACTTTCTCGACATTGATCTCACACCCTAAAACTCGAACTCTCTCCTAAGCTTCCATGGCTCCTAGGCCTAAGTCACGCAAGTTATTTTAACATGGTATTCAGGGCAGGTGCCTTCCTGCTGCCTTCTTGCTTCCGCTGCCTATCGTCTTGCGCGCGCCTCGGAGCGCGCGGCGTATTGTTCTCGCGCACGGCGATTTTCTGCCCGCCGTGTGCTCGGGGCGCACGGCGGTTTTCTGCCCGCCGTGCGCCCCGAGGCGCGCGGCGGTTCCTACCTCGTCGCGGTGTCTTGGGGGCCCGCGCACTGGCCCCGACCGTCGCCTCGTCGCGGCGTTTTGGGGGCCCGCACGCATGTCCCTCCCGTCGCCTCGTCGCGGCACTTTTGGGGCCCGCGAGCCGGCCCCTCCCGTTGCCTCGTCGCGGCGCCTTAGGGGCCTGCGCGCGGTCCCCCCTCTCGTCGCCGTCGAGGCCACTTTCGGGACCTGCGCGGGCTCCATCGCACGTCGCCCTTCAGGGCACAATGGGGGCCGCGCCCTTCCCCTCCCCTCCCTCCTACTTTCCGCTGCAGCAGCCGCCCCTGGAGCAGCCGCCCCTGGAGCAGCCGCCGCTGCAGCAGCAGCCCCTGGAGCAGCAGCAGCAGCCCCAGCAGCAGCAGCCCCGGGACCAGCCGCCCCCAGCAGCAGCAGCCCCTGGAGCGGCCACCCCAGCAGCAGCAGCCCCTGGAGCAGCCGCTACTGCAGCAGCCCGCCCCAGCAGCAGCAGCCCCTGGAGCAGCAGCAGCAGCCCCAGCAGCAGCAGCCCCGGGACCAGCCGCCCCAGCAGCAGCCCCTGGAGCAGCAGCCCCAGCAGCAGCAGCCCCTGGAGCCGCCCCAGCAGCAGCAGCCCCCGGGAGCAGCCGCCCCAGCAGCAGCCCCTGGAGCAGCAGCCCCCAGCAGCAGCAGCCACTGGAGCAGCCACCCCAGCAGCAGCTGCCCTGGAGCGGCCACCCCAGCAGCAGCAGCCCCTGGAGCCGCCGCTACTGCAGCAGCCACCCCAGCAGCAGCAGCCCCTGGAGCAGCAGCAGCAGCCCCAGCAGCAGCAGCCCCGGGAGCAGCCGCCCCAGCAGCAGCCCCTGGAGCAGCAGCCCCAGCAGCAGCAGCCACTGGAGCAGCCGCCCCAGCAGCAGCAGCCCTGGAGCAGCCACCCCAGCAGCAGCAGCCCCTGGAGCCGCCCCAGCAGCAGCAGCCCCGGGAGCAGCCGCCCCAGTAGCAGCCCCTGGAGCAGCAGCCCCAGCAGCAGCAGCCACTGGAGCAGCCGCCCCAGCAGCAGCAGCCCCTGGAGCAACCGCCTCCCCTGGCCCCTGCAGCAGCCACTCTTGGACCCGGTGCAGCCGTGGGGGGGTGGGTGTGGGGGTGATAGTTGTGGGGGTGTCGATTGTGCGTGCCGTCCCCTCCTCCTCTTCCTCCTTCGTCTCCCACTGCTGCAGCTCTCGCTGAGGGGGGTGGATATGTGGGAGTCTAGGGTTTAGGGTTTACGGGGGTGCTGTGGGTGTAGGGCTAGGGTTGAGCAGGGGGTGTGTGAGAGGGGTGTTGGGCAGCTGGGGGAGGTTGAGTGGAGGCAGCAGTCCTTGTCGTCTGCAGCAGCAGCAGCAGTCCGGAGGCTACAATCTCCGGTAGTCGCCAGTCGCCAGTGGGTCCCGTTGCTCGTCTACCGCTACTTTTAGCCGCTGGGGCCAGTTACTCCAGTAGTCCGGAGCGCTGTCCGGTAGCCACTGAGCCAGCAGCTTGTCTGTGTGTCTGCAGCTGTCAGCAGTCGCTTCCCATCTTCTCTCCCCCAGAGTCCTCTCCTCCTCCTCACTTGCCCTCTGTGATTAGCTCTAGCCTTACTTACCTATTGTGAACTCTTGCCCTATGCTTGCTCATTGTGCTGATTACTCCCCACTTTGGCTATGGGGGGTGTGTCAGAATGTATTTGCTGTCTAGCCTGCAGTGGGGTACTCTGTAATGAGTACAACCCCAATTTAGGGTGTTGTACTTGTATCCCAACTCTTGCTAGTGAAACCACTCATTCTCCTTTCAACTTTCTCGACATTGATCTCACACCCTAAAACTCGAACTCTCTCCTAAGCTTCCATGGCTCCTAAGCCTAAGTCACGCTAGTTATTTTAACAGTCGGAATGCCGTGCCGCCCATGGTTGTCGCCGAATGTATTTATCATGGGTGGCGTGAGTCACGGAACAATCGCCAGCTAATTGCAACACACCCCATCAATCGCACGCAGTGCCAAATGTCATCTCATGCAGCATGTATCTAGACAACATTTTGCGTGACCCTCTATCCCCAGCAACGCGTACTCAGCGTTGTGAATTGGGCGAGACGACACATCCAGAATTTATTGACAGGGACGCGCACTCCCCCGCCATTACGCCTTCCCCCAGTTCCAGTGCACCCCCCCCACAACTCCTCCGTCTCCCATTCCCTTACGAGGTCAAGTTTGTGCACCATCTTTGAAGTACAAATCTGTGATTTTCTCCCAGCCTCCGCTCCTTCTAGATCTAGATCTAGAACCCTCTAGCCGCCAGCATGGCTCGTAAGCGTAAGGGGCACACCCTTAACGACTGCCCCAAGGATCTAAACGACATTCCGTACATCCGCTTGATGAACCAGCAGATCGCCAACGTGCGCCATCCTAGGGGATTATCCGCGCCGCCCGTGCTTGACGGCCAGGGATCCAGTGCACAGCTGCCCTCAGCGGCCCCGTCACGTGTGCGCCGTCAGCCTGCAAGGACGGCAGCAACGCACCGGCCAGTCGTGGAGCAGGACGATGACGATGCTGGACGACGACAACCGCGACGAAGGCGTCGACTCCGAAGACGAGGAGGAGGAACCAGGAGACCTTGCGAATGTCGCGTAGCGACGACGACGACGACGATGAGGATGCCGAGGAGGACGCACCGGAGGAAGCACAGCCTGTCGCACTCCTCGCCGAGACGGAGCGCCGCATGCGGACCAGGGTCCGATAAGGGCAAAGGCAAGTCGGCGCAACCTGCAGCACGCCCGGAGCCGCGGAAGAACGGGCGGCAGCACCAGTCGAGTGGGGCTTATGGCCAGACAAGGAGAGCACCATTTTCGCCAGCGGCGATATGGTTCATGAAGGAGGAGCTCGAGCCTCTCAAGGGGAA